CTAGACTTTGTTATATATCACACAAAGCCTGTTCAACGAGCTTTTGGCACCGTGAACCTCTAATGGGGACTACACGAATCACGTAGGTAGTCAGAGTAACGTATTACCAAATCCGGCTTCGAAACATGAGGATCGATATATATTTCATAAGCCCAATAAAGCACGTGGGCTTCTACAAACAATCAACACCTCAAGCCTCTAGGATTCGAACCCACGGCCACGAGCCGATGACTGTGACCGGGTAACCCTAATGGCTGCACCACCAGGATACTAAAAGTAATCCTAGACTTTGTTATATTTCACAAAAAGCCTGTTCAACGAGCTTATGGCGCCGTGAACCTCTAATGGGGACTACCCGTATCACGTAGGTGGTCAGAGTAACGTTTTACCAAATCCGGCTTCGAAACACGAGGATCCATATATATTTAATTAGCCCAATAAGGCACGCAGGCTTCTACATACAATCAACACCTCAACCCGCCAGGATTCGAACCCACGGCCCTCAACCCTATGACTGTGACCGGGGAACCGTAACCGCTGGACCACCAGAATACTAAAAGTAGTCCTAGACTTTGATATATTTCACACAAAGCCTGTTCAACGAGCTTATGGTGCCGTGAACCTCTAATGGGGACTACCCGTATCACGTAGGTGGTCAGAGTAACGTTTTACCAAATCCGGCTTCGAAACACGAGGATCCATATATATTTCATTAGCCCAATAGCGGGCTTCTACATACAATCAACACCTCAAGCCAGGATTCGGGCTTCTACATAAAATGAACACATCAATCCGCCAGGATTCGAACCCACGGCACATGAGCCTATGATTGTGACCGGGGAACGCTAACTGCTGGACCACCAGGATACAAAAAGTAGTCCTAGACGTTGTTATATTTCACACAAAGCCTGTTCAGTAAGCTTATAGCGCCATGAACCACTAATGGGGACTACCCGTATCACGTAGGTGGTCAGAGTAACATTTTACCAAATCCGGCTTCGAAACGTGAGGATCCATATATATTTCATTAGCCCAATAAAGCATGCGGGCTTCTACATACAATCAACACCTCAAGCCTGCAAGATTCGAACCCACGGCCCGAACCTATGACTGTGACCAGGGAACGCTAACTGCTGGACCACCAGGATACTAAAAGTAGTCCTAGACTTTGTTATATTTCGCACAAAGCCTGTTCAATGAGCTTATGGCGCCGTGAAACTCGAATGGGGACTACCCGTATTACGTAGATGGTCAGAGTATCGTTTTACCAAATCCGGCTTCGAAACACGAGGAGCCATATATATTTCATTAGCCTAATAATGCACGCGGGCTTCTACATACAATCAACACTTCAACCCGCCCGGAGTCGAACCCACGGCCCACAAGCCTATGACTGTGACCGGGGAACGCTAACAGCTGAACCACCAGGATATTAAAAGTAGTCCTAGACTTTGTTATATTTCACACAAAGCCTATTCAACGAGCTTATGGCGCCATGAACCTCTAATGGGGACTACCCGTATCACGTAGGTGGTCAGAGTAACATTTTACCAAATCCGGCTTCGAAACACGAGGATCCATATATATTTCATTAGCCCAATAAAACACGCAGGCTTCTACATACAATCAACACCTCAACCCATCAAGATTCGAACCCACGGCCCACGAATCTATGACTGTGACACGGGAACGTGAACCGCTTGACCACCAGGATACTAAAAGTAGTCATAGACTTTGTTATATTTCACACAAAGCCTGTTCAACGAGCTTATGTCGCCGTGAACCTCTAATGGGGACTACCCGTATCACCAAGGTGGTAAGAGTAACGTTTTATCAAATCCGGCTTCGAAACACGAGGACCCATATATGTTTCATTAGCCCAATAAAGCACGCGGGCTTCTACATATAATCAACACCTCAGCCCGCCAGGATTCGAACCCATGGCCCACGAGCCTATGACTGTGACCGGGGAACGCTAACTGCTGGACCACCAGGATACTAAAAGTAGTCCTAGACATTGTTATATTTCACACAAAGCCTGTTCAATGAGCTTATGGCGCCGTGAACCTCGAATGGGGTCTACCCGTATTACGTAGATGGTCAGAGTAACGTTTTACCAAATCCGGCTTCGAAACACGAGGATCCATATATATTTCAATAGCCCAATAAAGCACGCGAGGATACTACATACAATCAACACCTCAACCCACCAGGATTCGAACCCACGGCCCACGAGCCTATGACTGTGACCGGGGAACGCGAACCGCTTGACCACCAGGATACTAAAAGAAGTCTTAGACTTTCTTATATTTCACACAAAGCCTGTTCAACGAGCTTATGTCACCCTGAACCTCTAATGGGGACTACCCAAATCACAAAGGTGGTCAGAGTAACGTTTTACCAAATCCGGCTTCGAAACGCGAGGATCCATATATATTTCATTAGACCAATAAAGCACGCGGGCTTCTACATATAATCAACACCTCAGCCAGCCAGGATTCGAACCCACGGCCCACGAGCCTATGACTGTGACCGAGGAACGCTAACAGCTGGACCACCAGGATACTATAAGTAGTCCTAGACATTGTTATATTTCACACAAAGCCTGTTCAATGAGCTTATGGCGCCGTGAACCTCGAATGGGGACTACCCGTATTACGTAGATGGTCAGAGTAACGTTTTACCAAATCCGGCTTCGAAACACGAGGATCCATATAGAGTATATTTCATTAGCCCAATAAAGCACGCGGGCTTCTACATACAATCAACACCTCAACCCGCCAGGATTCGAACCCATGGCCCACGAGCCTATGACTGTGTCTGGGGAATGCTAACCTCTGGATCACCAAGATACTAAAAGTAGTCCTAGACTTCGTTATATTTCACACAAAGCCTGTTCACCGAGCTTATGGCGCCGTGAACCTCTAATGGGGACTACCCGTATCACGTAGGTGGTCAGAGTAACGTTGAGGTGTTGATTGTATGTAGAAGCCCGCGTGCTTTATTTGGCTAATGAAATATATATGGATCCTCGTGTTTCGAAGCCGGATTTGGTAAAACGTTACTCTGACCACCTACGTGATACAGGTAGTCCCCATTAGAGGTTCACGGCGCCATAAGCACGTTGAACAGACTTTGTGTGAAATATAACAAAGTCTAGGACTACTTTTAGTATCCAGGTGGTCCAGCGGTTAGCGTTCACTGGTCACAGTCATAGGCTCGTGGGCCGTGGGTTCGAATCCTGGCCGGTTGAGGTGTTGATTGTATATATATATATATATATATATATATATATATATTATAAATTCTCCATTCGAATTCAAATTTACATTACTTAATACACAGTTTGATAAGTTCAATGAAAACACTGTTTTGAGACGGGCGAGGGAATATTCTCCAGGGAATTTGTGAGGAACTCAAGCAAATCATCAACTGGGACCTTTGTAAAGAGTGATGTTACATCAAAACTGACCAGTTTAAAATCATAATTAATGTGTAGGCTATTTAGTTTATTAACTAAATCCACATTATTCTTAACATTAGAGTTTGCTATGTTGCCAACTACGGGGATTAGTAAAGAAACTAGCCATTTAGACAACTTATAAGTGAATGACCTACTTGAGCTAATGGGTCTTTCTGTGTTATTTGGCTCGTGAGACTTGATAAGAGCTTAGAATATGTTGCAACATCTCATAATCACCTTTGTTTAAAATCAGTACTGTGTTGGCTTTCTGCTTTAGTAACATGTAAATCCTTATTTTTCTTAAAGGCTTGGACTGCTTTGGTAAATCTTTCCTGACAATTAGGAACACAAGGCTTAGACATAGATAATTACACAATACTTTTACACATGTTCTCTTCTTCATTTATTAAATTGATGAATTTCTCGAACTTGCAAAATGCTCTGGCTATATCAACACTGTCGACTCCCTTTTTAGAGCCATCAAAACTTAAACCGTAACCGTGGGCACACATGGTATCATTGTCTAGTTGTTTAGAGGAGAGATTCACTACGCAGTTGTGATTGGCATCCTTAGTCCAATCACTATTTTTAATAAGGAGTGCTAATGTGTGGTCTAGCTTTGCTTGAAGATCAGAACGCTCATATCTCAGGTCATCAAAACAGTAAACCAACATGAACTTCATCCATTCAATCGGTATAGTCTTATTAAAAGATTTTTTTTCTTACAATACGAAAAGCTTCATCCACTTCAATCCTCTTTATTTCAATGTGTTTCGTTAGGATGATTTCCTGCAATTCATCAAAAGGGCGGTCAGACATCTGCAGGACACATTGTGGGAGGATTAATTATCATGGCATAACTTGTTCACTTGGGCATGTCTTAAGGAATTTCAATTGTATTTTCAATTTTTGAGCCTTGATCTTCGAAGAGGAGTATTCAGTAATGAAGGGAGACAAGCCAGGACAGCTTGTAGAGAAGTATAAAAAATATAGCGTGAAATCCATTATGCAAATAAATCACTGTAGGTCAGCGTGATCCATGTATGGGCTAATCCACATAGGAAACAAGAAAAGCGCTTATGAACTTCGTGTTTTCTTGTTTCCTATGTGGTTATCAGCATATACAGTATATATATATATATATATATATATATATATATATATATATATATATATATATATATATATATATATATATATATATATATATATATATATATATATATATATATATATATATATATATATATATATATATATATATATATATATATATCTATTTACCAACTTTTACCCCAAATTGCCACCCAGAGTCCACTTTCAGGATATGGGTCCTAATCTAACACTGTTACATGTACATAATGTATATATTCCACATTTATATAAATATTACTGTCTGTCTGACAGGCGCTAATGCACATCATTTATACTGGTATTTTAACGACTGAACATAATTATACCTGCACGTCAAAATGCAGGTACACTTTTTTTTACTGTAGGTGTGTACAGACACACTATCTAGACTGTAAGTACTTACATTCTCAACGGATAGTTTTAGACAAGGAGAAGGAGGGCGAGTCTCCATAATGGTGCACGCTGGATGTAGCCTAAATAACAGAGACGAGGGGCTGGCCCGACAAGCAGGAAGCTGGTGACGCCACCTGCTCGCTTGTTCAATACACTTGAAGAGTAACCCCAGCGCCCACTCTACATGCCTCTATTATACGTCCCGGAGTGATCACGTAAAATATAATTAGTAAGATAATTACCAATACGTTCTAAATGTCAATCATTATCGGGGAAGTTGAGGTTAAGCAACCACCTTCAGCAAGTTATAAATCCACAGTGTTTTATAGGAAATTAATTTTTATCTGCTGATAATGGGATTATTTTTCTTTTTCCTTTTTTTTTACACTAGAGGCTATTTTCTAAAGTGAGTCATTTTAACCAGTGTGTTGTAGGGCATAGGTACAGTGGCCAAAATGGTGGAATGTCAACATCACGTTTATAGCAAATAGTTCCAAAATAAATACCATTCATGTTACATCATCACTCTTGTCAAAGCTAATGTCATGTTTTTTGCTTTAGTTCGGTGGCAGAGGGATGTACGTCTTCCAATGTGATCGGAATGATGCCAAGGAGTCTATACTTTAACTAAGATCTGATGTGGTTCACACTCACTGATTTATAAGCCCTTGATTTTTTAATCACTGGAGCAGATGTGTGTGGTTCATTCACCTCACCAGTACGTGAACCTCCTTGTTCATCGGTGACTAGAGTACTAGACGCACCAGCGTGCTCATCACCATCGCAAACACAGTGCAACACAAGAGGTGGATGAACTTTATATATATATATATATATATATATATATATATATATATATATATATATATATATATATATATATATATATATATATATATATATATATATATATATATATATATATATATATTTTTTTTTTTTTTTTTTTTTTTTTTTTTTTTTTTTTTCAGGAGTGGAAAGGATGGAAGGCATGCTGGGGCTCAAGGCACAGCCAGACATGAAGGGTAGAGGAGTCACGACAGATAGTCGTTAAGGGAAAGGTTGGAAAAGAAGTTTAATGAGTTAAACAGAGGAGGATAGTATCATGTCCCTTCGACACAGCGACGGCGATCTCGTCGATTAGTCTTGCCTTAGGCCTGGCCTTGGGAGGAGTTATCATCTGCATTATTTACCAACAAACTCTGTAATATGTAAAACAAGGGGTGACGTCCTCCTCTGTTTAATAAGACTAGATTCTATATATATATATATATATATATATATATATATATATATATATATATATATATATATATATATATATATATATATATATATATATATATATATATATATATATATATATATATATATATATATATATATATATATATATATATATATATATATATATATATGTGTGACCAACACAACCTTTATATGACAAATATTGCTGGTTTCCCAATGAAAAACAAGTAAAATTGTATATCCAGAATGTAAGTGCGCTCTGAAGCCCGTCCCCATGACTTGGATTCCCCTGTGCCAGTTCCCCTTGCAGCTGCTGCAGTTGAAAGCGATGACAACTCTGATGATGACGAGTGCGATGATGCTAAAATGGATCAACTGTATGAGCCTGAATCTGAGGAAGAAAGCCACACTTGTTAAATCAAGAAGAGTTGAATGATCTGGTGAGAAACCTGTCATTGTCAAAGGAGAAAGCAGAAGTGTTGGGCTTTAGATACAGCAATGGAACCTCCTACAGAAAAGTACCAAAATATCCCTCTTCCGTTATCGCCACACAAACTTAACTGACTTTTTAAAAATAAAAATGATGTTTGTTCCTGTACTGATGTTAATGGCCTCATGCATGAGCTATGAAAAGAACTTGTGCCTGGTGAATGGAGACTCTTCATAGACTCCAGCAAAGTGAGTCTCAAAGCTGTGTTGTTACACAGAGGTAACAAAAAAACCTGTTCCTGTAGCTCATGCTGTCGGCATGAAGGAGCCGTTTGAGTCGATGGAAATCCTTCTGAAAGTGATTAATTACTCAGCTCAGAAGTGGAACATTTGCAGTGATCTAAAGGTTATTTCTCTTCTCTTAGGACTGCAGCTGGGATACACAAGACACATGTGCTTCTTGTGCCTATGGAACAGCCGTGACGAAAGCAATCATTATGTTGCAAAAGACTGACCTCAAAGACATGAACACACGGTTGGCAGGTACAATGTGCAGCATAAGCCATTGGTAGACCCTCAGAAAGTCTACCTTCCACCGCTTCACATCAAACTCGGCCTTATGAAAAACTTTGTAAAGGAAATGGATCATGACGGTAGTGGCTTCCAGTATCTCAGAGAGAAGTTTGGCGCAGGGAAAACTGATGCTAAACTCAAAGCAGGCATTTTCGTTGGGCCGCAGATCCGAGAACTGATGTGTGATCGCGAGTTCAAAAATAAACTGAACCCACTTGAGTTTGCAGCTTGGAAAGCATTTGTGTTGGTTGTGCAGAACTTTCTTTGGAACCATAGAGCTGAACAGTAAGCTGAATTAGTGGACAATATGCTAAAGGCCTATCAGCGAATGGGCTGTAGGATGTCTCTTAAAATGCACTTCTTGCATTCTCATCTAGATTTCTTTCCACCTAATCTGGTTGAGGTAAGCGATGAGCATGGTGAAACGTTCCACCAAGACACGTTGGTGATGGAAACTAGGTATCAAGGCCGGTTCAACCCAAACATGATGAGTGATTACTGTTGGTTCCTACAACGGGAGACCATTTCCATACACAAACGCAAGAGCAAGTGTTTCACACACTTTTGAACACGTCCGAGCGGTGCTTGCGCTGAATATATTGAAATTAGTTTTGCATGTTCTAATTTTTTTATTAGGGTCTTTCTCTGTAACTTGTTTATGTTCTTGAGTTGTATACTACGCATTATAAACGTGGAGATCAGTCATTGTTATCTAAATATGATGTGAAAGTAATTACTAAGCACTGTTGTTAGATGTACAATATGGCAATATACAATCATAAAGTGTCTAATATAGCATGGCGGGTATCATTAATACATATACATAACTGGAAAACCTGACGTGATGGCTGAATTCTGACTTCGGATTTGAAATCAGCGGCCCACATTTACTCAAGAACACTTGCATTTCCTTTAGTAACAGACAATTCCTTTTTTTGTTGTTGCCCAGTGAATCATCCATTTATTCTATTAAATGAGTGTGTACTTATCAGGTCAGCACTATTTGAAATTTCTTCCAGAAAATAGACGTTTCAGGATATTTCTTACCATATTACTGTGATCCCCCTTCTGTCATATATTTTAGACAATTGCAAAACTCCAATCTAAAATCATATTACAGAACTTAAATAAGAATCCTCAGTGCGCAAGACAACATACTTACAGATACCATATGACCCATTCAGTGCAAACCATTTTAATTAGCTTTAACGAAAATCTCCAGCACTGACGAGATTAAGAGCCTGGATATGTATAATTTTCATATAAATGATATTTCGAAATATTAAATTTAATTTTACTAATCCCAAACCCAGCTTACCTACATAACCTTCCCACATTATTGTAGCTATAAGTTCCTAGCATACGATAAAAGGTCAGTAATACAGATCGCCTAAAAATGTAGTAAAATGTTCCGACCTTCATTAAGCAAAGGTCAATATGGTATTTAACAGCGTAAAGAAGGAGGTAGTGCCGTCATGGCACCTACATGTAGCTTCTGTAACAAGGCTATTGATTCACACACACACACACACACACACACACACACACACACACACACACACACACACTACTGCTCCTACTACTTTCCTATCACTCGGAATCGAGTATAACGATCATCCAGCGAGCTCACCTAGGTTGATGAGTTCTGAGGCGACTAAAGAGGCCGATACGGGACCGGCAGGGTCGATCACAGATGTTGCACACGTGGGGGGCTACATCTAGTGCGGGAGGGGCTGTGGCAGCGGCTTTAGAGGGTTGGCGCTTGTCTGCCTCGTTATGCAGTTAGACTAACTCGAAAGTATTTACACCTTCTTGTTTGGTGATCCGCCAAGCGTTACGGAGCGGAATAATCGTCTCCCGGGGCAGGGGGTCGATTTGGCACTTTTTCAGGTTTGTTTTAAGACTATCTTTAAACATTTTCAGTTGCCCACTAGCGTTAGGTTTACTATTCGTTAAGTGTTTCTAAAGTAACTGTTTTGGCAGTCTAGTGTCGTCCATGCGCGTAACATGGCCAGTATTCCAGCAATAATCTTGGAATTTGTTCTCTTGTCTTCCCAGCGAACTGGAAGGATGGAACATCGACTACGTTGGTGAAAGTTTTCAAGTGCCTTGATGTGCCTACTCTATGTGACCCATGTTTCACTGCCGTGGGGAGGACCACTGCTCGTTATGCGTGTAACTTTCTAGATAATTTTACCTCCCTACAGCTGAAGACTCGGTTTCGGAGTCTGCCAAAGGCTTGAGATGGACATCTGAACCTATGCTGAATCTCTTCATCGATGTCCGTGGTGGTGGACAGGTGGGAGCCAAGATACCGAAAGTGGTAACATTAGAGAGGGCAGTACCGTTAAGCTGGATGGATGGAACCAGGCGGAACCAGGGTCAGGCTGAAAGAGAATCTGAGTCTTATATAAGTAGTATATACAATGGCTACAATGGAGAGAAATATCAGTAAGTGGACGGATAGTGTTGGAGAAATATAATGAGGGAGTTATTTAAGTAGTACATACAATGACTACAATGGCGATAGTAACAATGTTATTGTTAGCTTTCTCTCTGTACCCATACACTGCTCCTGAAACTAGAAAAGACTGGATTCCGTATTATAGTAAATCGGTCCCCTTCGTCACATTTCTGCACCAACCTTTCAGGCGGACGTGATTGACAAGAGATCCGTTTTTAAAGAGAGATTAAAGGTAATAGAGCTATATTGAATTTACCACAAGGATCTTACTTTGCAATTGCATGTGGAGCATGCTTTCAAATAAGGTATTTTATTAAAGCTATAATGAAACCAATAATCACAACTACACCTTCTTTGGGTACTCAAAATACAAGCATTTTTTATACGAAAGTATAATCAATATTATACATGTATAGTGGCTTGGTATT